CCCCCTCCTCCTCCTCCTCCTCCTCCTTCTTCTTCTTTTATTTTTTTTATTTTAATGGTACCAGGGATCGAAGGAGGTACTTGTGCTTGTGAGGCGGGTGGCGGCACCACTGAGCTAAATCCCAGGCCCTACTTGTTTCTTTGCAAGAATAATTTTCTAATTCATGACATACCCTGAGTAACATTTTGGCCATTCTTCTAAGATCATGATACATAGTACATGAGCCAGTATTATGCTCTAATTAGTTTGTTATGACATTTTTTATAGAAGTGAGCAGTGTTTTAATATTTTATTTGCTATCTACTTATATAACATTAAAATTTAAAAATGTGTACTACTTACCCTGATAAATAGCTAATTTTAAATATAGTACCAGAGCATATAGTTGCCTTTATATAAATGTCAGCATTAAGCATAAGCAAAATGAGAAGAACTGGCTTTCCAAGCACTTTCATGTTAACAGAAAAAAGAAAGAGAAAAAAAGAAAGAAAGAAAGAGAAAAAAGAAAGAATATAGTATTCCAGACAAATAACTTAGCATTATAAATAAAAATGGATACAGATTTAATAATAGTTTATCATGCAGTAGAATAGTTTAATAATGCTTTGAATTGAATGAATCAAAAGTACAAAGATAAAAAGATCAAATGAAAGGAATATTTCAAAGCTTCGGTATTAAAAACAAACCCTGAGAAACATCAGTATTGTAATTATAAATAAATTAGACACTTCAAGAATAAAATATATTTTCTGAAAAATAAAATTAATAAACTTAATTACATGTAAGAAAGATCTAAAGAAATCACAATAAGTACAGAAAAAATGTAAATCTTATTAAAAAAGGAGAGCGGCAAAAACAATTTAAAACATAAGAATTATAGATCCCAATGAATGAAACAAAAACTTTACTTTAAAACTCACTATATAAGAACATGTCCTTAAAATAAATGAAGAAGCTTTTCTTGATATATGTACTATAAATATTCAAGTATGCAACTTCTATATAAATTCTAGTTCAATTACTAAGACCAAAATTTTTCTTTTAAATTAATTCTACAAGTATCTTGGTTGAAAAAAAAAAGTCTATTACAAAACAAAAGCAACAAAATTTGGCTGGCCTCAGACTTCTCCATAACAAAATTTCATATAACAGGAAAATAGATAAATGTACACAAATTCCTGAAAGAGGAAAAAGACTTCATGTGGGAGGCAAAGTAACAGGGAGACATTTTTAAAGCATGAGCAAATCCTTACTTACTGAAAAAAAACACTCAACTGTAAAATCTATGTATCAAAGAGATTAATGAAGAAAATTTGGAATAATTCCCATATTCATAGAGAATTTTTTTCTAAAATCAAACTACATATATCTCCCAAGTCCTCATTTGTTCTAAATGGGAAAAGAAGTATAAAATTTTTAATGTAATGTTTCAGTTTTCAATTTTCAGTTAAAGGTAAGATCTCACCTTTTTCCTTTGCTGCTTTCCATAATCTTCTGTGCATGAAATGTGCATGAGTACATGTACGTGCATATGTGTTCATTTATACATACATGTTACAAGAAGGGCCAGGTCCACCCAAGCATAAAAGGAAGAAGTGAACCTTGGTTAGCATGTCCCCCTTTGCCTTTGCTGGTCTCACCTAATATATCATCTGTGTGCTCTTGTTCTCATTATGTTCTGGCATCTACTAGCAGTGTTGGTACTCCTGCCTTGGCCTTTGATTACTAGGTGTACACCTTTGAACTTTTCTCATATCACCAACAGCATGCCCTTTTGTGCCTATACAGTATCTATAATCCTCTCTCAAGACTTACGCACTTCTACCTGATTAGGAAACTACTAACTGTTTTCTTTATGCATCACCCAAAAAAGCACTTTCTTGTGTACTACATTGGATATAAATTTTTCTCCAAAATGCTAGACATTCACATTCTGCTTCTAGATAAGACTTAAGTACAAGTGTATATGGGCTTCTATCAAACTTCTTTTGTACGTCATCCTTCCCAAGGCTTTGTTCAATGTAGCAGAATCCTCTATTTGCACTGAGGAATTCACCAAGTCTAAATTTTTGTTACCACATTTCAAATAGTGTTCATTCTTCCCATTGCTCAAAAAATCTTTTCTTCTTTTAGAAGGAAAAGGGTTTTTATGTCATTACACAATTTTTATCATTCTTTGATTGATACTATAAATTCCATGTTCTGAGTCTTAGCAGGTTTGGCTCTTGATATTTAAATTTAAGCATTAAAAACTCAAAAATTATTTTTCTATCTCAAGAGCCTGGGTCTTGACATTGCCTTCAAATCTATTATTTTTGCCTGATTTACCAAAGTATACTTAAGAGCTCAAAAGACAAAGTTTGACTATCTCTCAGACTTCTCTAACCTGCAGTTGTACATTTAAAAAGCCATGAATTATGGAGAGGAGTGGTAAGTATATAGTTTTAAAACTTATGCAAGAATTAATCTAAAGATATTAACCCAATAGATGTAGAACTCAGGAATAAAGAAACACTGGACAAAGAGAAGTTAATGAAAACTTATTTAATATATAGAATAATCAGGGAAATCAGGATTGTATTTTTCTGAATTGCTTACATATTTAATATTCCAAAGATGGAACACTTATTTTCAAGCAACAAAATCAATCTTGAAATTATAATTTTTATCAAAGGATCCAAAAACCCTGGATTACCACCTTTATTATTATTTATAAATAAAGTTAGGTGCCCTTCTATTTGTTCTCAGTGCAACCTGTAGTCATAATATCATAGCACCCTCACACTGAATTATATTTGCTTTTTACTTTCTCCACAGTTGTAAGCAATTTTGGACAATGACATAGTTCTTATATCTTCCATATTTATTAGCATGCTGAGTATATTATAACTATTTAATTGATGTATGTCAATAAACACATGAATGATAGAATGAGCAATCAACATTTATTAAGTATTTAAAATATTCTCAAAACTATTATGTATAATGTGTGTGAACTTTTCATTTTCATAACAACCCTTTGAGACTGCTTAAGTGAACAGGTGAGTATTTCAATTTGCCTTGAATATAAACTTGTCCAATAAAACTAGGAAAGTGGTTTGGCCTATATTAAACAAGATTTTTATGCCT